CCTTGAAAAATAAGACTTATCAAACGGACCATTAGATATTCAATAAAATGAATCATCAATTTTAATTTTAATAATGATAAGGTTCGAAATGTATAGTCCTTTACTTTCATTTCGGTTTCCAATCTCCTCTCTCTCGTCAACCTCATCTTCTTTCTACCTTCAATCATTCATATGACAAATAGTTTTGACAGTTAAAAACTTTTGTTTATCCTCGTAAAATTAGATTCATGTGTAGATAACAAATAAATGTAAAACTTGACGAGAAGAAAGCATAACCTAATGAAAACACGTGACTAGTATTGAGAGAAGTGAAATGTTCTATGAACGAAATAAGAAAATTTTAGAAAGAAAAGAATATCTTCAAATCGATTATCAAATCAAAAAAATGGAACGAGTATTCTATGTTGCTGATGCTAGGGTGTACAAATATCTCAACAATACAATACCACACCGAAATAAAAACATTCTATTGACTAGAATTTGGCCTCTATTTGACAATCATTATTTGAAAATTATTTTTTTATATACTTAGCTCCCGTTTGGGTTACCTTATTTTCTCATTAAAATGAAAAATATGACTGTTATCTATCACATCAACATTTAAATTCAAATTTTCTATCTCTTGTGTGGGCCCCAATAACGACTATATTTTTCATTCTCATTCTACAAAATATGGTGCAAACAAAGCCTTAATATTTATATAATAAAATTATTTTGCCTACATTTGAAGTACACATTCTTTTAAAATCAGTATTCAAAACTTGTTTTGGCCAAATAATGGTCATCAAACGGATTAAGTACAATGACGGCTCAAGTTGGTCCAATCATATGCCAACATGACACCTCCCACCTCAGGTCCTCAGCCAATGGAGTTAATTGTTCCAATGGTCATTGAATTTATGTCCACGTCTAGAATCGATCTTACTCAAGGTCAATCCCAATGATTTTTTTTAAATCATTTAAATCTAAAATGAAAATAGGCACAAAAATCATTTAAGTCATTGCCCCGGAGCATGAAGTTACTATCTTCCAATAATAACGATGAAAAAAAGAAAATAATGTCTCTTCCAATAATATTGAAACAGTAAAAACCTCATTTTAACTTGAGTTTCAAAAACTAAAAATCAAATATACACCATAACAATTAACGGTATTAGGGACAAAATAAAAACATATTTAAAATATTCTTTAAAACAAAAATATCTAATTTGTGAATAAAAA